AAAAATATATTTAAAATCTTTAACTAAAATTTACAATTAAAATTATTTATATATTGTTATATCTTAGCTTCTAGTAAATCAAATTAAATGAAAATTTGATATATTATAGTTCAAGATTATATAATTTATATATAAAAATTATAACTAATTCTAATCAGTGAATCTTGCAATATATAATGTTAAAATATTTATAAATTTACGTTTACATACATATCTCAGCTTCCACCGATTCAAATTAAATGAAATTTTAATATATTATAGATTGAGATTGTATTAAATATATATAAATTTTGAACTAATTCTGATCGGTGCATCTTGAGATATATAATGTCAAACTTAGTGATCGGAAACTTTTGGCTACCCTCTGTAATTAGACGAAATTCACTAAAAAAATGTTTTGCTCCATTAAAGGATAAAAAGGAAGAATTAGAAAAGGAGATTAGTTTGGTGGAAGCAAGAGGTGAGGTCATTACAGATGATTTAAAATCTGAATACTCTTCAGTTTTCTTCAATGTCGCTTGTCTAGACGCCTAACAACTCACTTTAAAAGTGTATATGAATTCGTTTTAAAGCGAAGAAAGAAATAGTGTCTCCCCTTTTTTCTTGCGAGAATTAGTAGGGGGGTTGATATCAGCTGGTCAGCGAAATATCAAGCTTATAACTGACCTTATCAGAAGTAAAGGTTTTTGTGTAAAATATGGGAATACTGATTCATTATACCTCGTTTGTCCAGAAGAATATTTTCGGGAATATGATGAGAAATGCATTTCAGAAAAGATATATTATTTCAATATATTTCAGAAATGATTAATTATTTTTTTTATTAATCGAAAAAAGAAGTAATTACAAACTTAGATGGCAAAATACGAAAGAAGACTAGATGAATTATTGCATCAAAGTGAAGTTTTCTTTAGAAATATTATATATAAAATTGGAAGAAGACTTCACTTTCTAGATATGTACTCAGATGTGGCATAAAGGCTACATCTTGATGGTATGTATCTGAGTCATCGAAATTATAGGACCAAAAAGAGATATATAGCAGATTGGTAAAAAAAAATGGGAATAAGCATATTCTTAATATGCAAATATAAGGATAGGTAAGTGCGAAATCTATTATATAGAATATTGGCAGAAGACTACCCCTAACCCAAACCCAAATATTACTTAAATATTTCTCAAATATCTCTGACGCATTTTTCATCCTTCAAAAAAAGAGACATATAATAATCTAGTAAGCAAATTGTAAATAAAGAAAAACAGATATATATATGGAAATGAAGCCTTCTTCAGAATTATTATATAAAAAAATTAGAAGAAGGCTTCATTTTTCTTAGATATGTACTTGAGTATAGTATATCCTTCGCGTAAGACTTATTCGCTTAATTTCAGTCAGCACTATTCTATAACTTCAGCCAAAACTTTGGATATAATATTTTAGCATCCAAGCTAGCATAAAACTGGTGAACTAATAGAACCTTTCTAGCTCTCCTCCAGTTTCATAACAGTTTCAGGAGAGTTCCATGACACAAACAAGACACTATCATGATGCTATCATGATATCAAATTAGATCCTTAAATCACATGCGCAAAAGATCAGTCAGAATTATACCATAGAGCTGGCAAATTAATCACAAATTTACCATGCCACCTGTCATCTCTTTTTTTACACTATTTTAGAATTTTAGAAGGTAACCAAATAGGTGCAAAAGATAAACACCCACAATATAGAATCCAGTATCCAACCAGATACAGAAGGGCGAAAACTTCAATATAGAACTTGAAATCTAAACAGGTATAGACAATCTGCATTTCCAACATAAAACCCAACAACTAATCAATCATAGAAACCTACTAGCGCAAATTATAATAGAAAGCATTTATTGATGCATAGCACGTAATAAAAATAGACATATTCAGATTATTTGGTCATAGTCATATTTAGATTATTTAATCGCACGATCAAAAATAATAAATAGGAAAAGGTAAAAAAAAGTAATTTCAGAAGTAAGGAATATAATAACGATAAGAAAAATAAGAAGATATAAAAATCATCATACTTAAGTTATTTAATTAGATTATTTAATCATATTTAGATTATTAACTTTAGATCATTTAGTTATATATAAATTATTTAGTTATATTTAGATTATTTAGTCATATTTAAATTATTTAGTTGTATCTAGATTATTTTATTACTAAATAACCTACTTTAAGCCGATTATGACTAAATAATATAATTATATTATTTAGTCATAATCGGCTACTTTCCTCCTGAAAGTATCTTAATGAAGCTATAGAAAATGTCTTAAATGACATTTGAACATCTCTTTAATGCCAGAAAGTCTTATAAAACAAATAAAAAGAATATTAATAAATGTTGTTATAAATAAAAAAAATTGTTAATTTCACTCCGATATCTTGGTAAATGCATTCTTATTTTTCTTTTAATTTAAATAAAATAAAAATTATAATTAAATTTTTACTTACCTCTTTTTGTAGATGTCGAAGCCCTCTGGAATCCTGAAATCCTATGAATCGAACAAAGGTAAGTGATTTGTTTTTCTTTTAATTTAAATAAAATAAAAATTAAACTAAAATTTTTACTTATCTCTTTTTGCTAGATGCTGAAGCCCTCCAAAATCCTGAAATTCTGGAATTTCTACGTATCATATAGTTGCTTGACAAAACTTCAGGGTATTGACAATTATCAAAAGTCAAAACCTATTTAGACATTTTGACTTTTTATTTTTAAAAGTCAAAACTGTCGAAAGGTTTAGACAATGTCAAAAGGTTTAGACATTATTGAAAGTATAGTTGCTTACCATAACCTTAGAATTTTAATAATTTCAAAAATGAAACATGTTTAAACCTTTTTTTTTTAAAAAAAATGTCAAAACTATCAAAAGATTTAAATAATGTCAAAGGTTTAAATA